TGCTGCTGGAGGAGTGGGGGCCGCTAAGCGGGGGCCTGGAGCTGCCCCCTCGCCTCACCTGGAAGCTGCTCCTGCTGCGGCGGCCGCTCTACCGCAACCTGCTGCGCTCGCCCAATCCCGAAGGTGCGCAGGGCCCCGAGCAGCCGGGAGGCACCCCCCTGACCGTCTGTCTCTTCCTCTTTTCCTCTCTGTTTCCTTATCTCTCTGGCTCTTTGTCTCTCACTGTCTCTGCATTTCTCTGCATCCCTCTGTCTCCTTTTCTGTCATTGTGCCTCTCCGTTTTGCCCCGTCTCTCTGTCATGTCTCTCACCTACCTCTCTCACACCTCTCCCTCACACCTCTCCCTCTCTCTTTCTCTCTCTTCCTCTCTCTCTCCCCCTCTGCCTATGTTTCTGTCTCTTGAGACGGAGTCTTGCTGTCGCCCAGGCTGGAGTGCAGTGGTGCAATCTCGGCTCACTGCAACCTCTGCCTCCCAGGCTCAAGCAATTCTCCTGCCTCAGTCTCCCGAGTAGCTGGGATTACAGGCATGCACCACCATGCCTGGCTAATTTTTGTATTTTCAGTAGAGTCAGGGTTTCGCCATGTTGGCTAGGCTGGGCTGGTTTCAAACTCTTGGCCTGTCTGTTTCTCTGGGTTCTTCTCTGTGTCCCTCTGTCTCTGTCTGACCACAACCCGCTTATCACCCCCCCCCCCCCCCCCCTCCCCCCCTCCCCGGAGCCGTGACTCACTCATCCCTGCCGGGCTTCCCTGACCTGGCACAGATTCCTGCCCTTCCAGTGTGTAGCCTTGCGGGTAGGGAGGGATGAGGCAGTGGAAGGTGGAGGGGCTGCCCAGAGGCTCCACTCACCTGTCCATTTCAGGCATCAACATTTATGAGCCAGCACCCCCTACTGGTCCCACCCAGCGACCCCTGGAGACTCTGGGTAAGTGCTTGGAGGGCCGGGTTGCTGAAGGTGGGGAGGGTCCTCCAGCGTTGGAGTGTTCTAACCCTTTGCTCCCCAACCTGCAGGCAATTTCCGTGGCTGGTACATTAGAACCGAAAAGCTTCAGCAGAACCAAAGGTGAGTCGCCGGGGCCGGTGTGGCCTACACTCCATTCCCTGCTCCACCCTTCCTGGCTGTAAGAACTGGTGAAACTGACTTGGTCTCTCTAGACCTCCATTTCCCGCTCTGTAAACAGGGTTAGCATAAGAGAGAATGCCTGTAAAACACACAGCCTAGGGCCCGGCCAGGTCTGGCTAGCACCAGTCAATAGCAGCTATTATTGGTTTTTGGTTTTGTTTTTAAGACAAAGTCTCACTCTGTTGCCCAGACTGGAGTGCAGTGGTGCAATCTCAGCTCACTGCAACCTCTGCCTCCCACGTTCAAGCAATTCTCCTGCCTCAGCCTCCTGAGTAGCTAGGATTACAGGTGTGCGCCACCATGCCCGGCTCATTTTGTATTTTTAGTAGAGGCGGCGGTTCACCATGCTGGCCAGGTTGGTCTCGAACTCCTGACCTCAAGTGATCTGCCTGCCTCAGCGTCCCAAAGTCCTCGGATTACAGGCGTGAGCCACCACACCTGGCTATTCTTGTTGTTGTTGTAATTATTCTAAGGCTCTTTCCCTGGGAGGGGAAGAGTCACCCCAGGCCACCCCCTGTCCTCCATGAAACAGAGCCTCGCTCCTGCGCAGTAGATGAGCTGGTATGACTCAGAGGCTCAGGGTCACACAGGCCAGGGTTGGGATCCTGGCTCTGCCACATGTTTGCTGCTTGGCCTCGGACATGTCTCCGTCCTCAGCCTCAGGTTCCTCGTCTGTAGCACGGGGTTCGGGATGCATTGCCCTCAGAGGGGCCCACGGGGACTGAGACAGGAAGGTGCTGAGGGAGCACCCCAAATGTGGGGACCCAAGCTATCCCTAAGAAAGCGCTAAGACACGGCTTCCTGCTCCCTGGAGCCAGGCCGACCAGGGAGATCCCCTAGGATCCTGGCAGATCGCAGACCCCGCCTCCCCCGGCCCTTGTTTCACAGCTGGACAGTGAAGCAGCAGTGTGTGGACCTTCTGGCCGAGGGCCTGTGGGAGGAGCTGCTGGATGACGAACAACCAGACATTACAGTCATGGACTGGTGCGTGCCCCTGCCCTGCCAGCCTGACCCCGTGATCACACAGGGCTGCCCAGAGCACGAGCCTTACTCTGAGCTCCCCTTGCTCTCAGCCCCTCACCAAGACCCTCCTGGTGCTGCAGGGTTCTGCCCTGCCCACCTCCCTGGCCCGTTCTGTTTGAGTCTTTCCGATTTTGAAATGTGCCGGGGTTACTGAGGCTGACCCTTATTTCTTTTCTTTTTTTTTTTTTTTGAGACAGTCTCACTCTGTCACCCATGCTGAACTGCAGTGGTGCCATCTCGGCTCACTGCTACCTCTGCCTCTCAGGTTCAAGTGATTCTCCTGCCTCAGCTTCCCAAGTAACTGGGACCACAGGCACATGCCACCACACCCGGCTAATTTCTGTATTTTTAGTAGAGACAGGGTTTCACCATGTTGCCCAGGCTGGTCTCGAACTCCTGACCTCAAGTGATCTGCCCACCTCAGCCTCCCAAAGTGCTGGGATTACAGGCATGAGCCACCATGCCTGGCCTATTCTTTATTTCTTAAAAGCCTGTCACCCTCTATTCTCAAGACAAATTCCTTCTCGTTCCTTAGGAGTCACTTACACTTGGCTCCACCAGGAAGCCTTCCCTGATCACCCCTCAGCTGGGTCAGGTGCATTTGCTCCAGTGCCCTGTACCCCCCATCCCGGTCCCAACCTCTCTGTCTGTGCCCCCATTTCCGGCCCCAACCTCTCTGCCTGGGTCCCCAGTTCTGTCCCCAACCCCTCTGCCTGGGTCCCTCCATCCTGGCCCTGACCCCTCTGCCCGTGCTCCCCATCCCAACCCTGGCCGTTCCTGGCTGTCATGTTTGGTGGAACGCCAGCCTCCCTCACTGGACTGTGAAGCCCGTGTGGACAGGGTGTGGGGCTGTCTTGGTCACTGCTATGTTGCCAGCACCACCCAGCTCAGGGCTGTGCACAGCGTGGGTAGCAGCATGTGTGTTGAACGGGGAATAGGGAACGGGGCCAGGGGCTGGGGCTGGGTAGCTGAGACTGCAGTGGCAGCTGAAGGCCTTGACCCCGCCTGCAGGTTCGAGGACAGCCGGCTGGATGCGTGTGTCTACGAACTGCACGTCTGGCTCCTGGCAGCCGACCGCCGCACGGTCATCGCTCAGCACCATGTGGCCCCCCGAACTTCTGGGAGAGGACCCCCTGGCCGCTGGGTCCAGGTGAGACTCTCAGCCCTGGGGCCCTAAACCCCAGACATGTGTTCTTGTCCCAAGACCTCACAGAGGGAGGAGAGCAGGTCCACCGGTCCTCGAAAAGGGCTCCTCCCTAATCCCAGGTGCTGTCACCACAGGTGTCCCACGTATTCCGCCATTATGGTCCTGGTGTGCGCTTCATCCACTTCCTGCACAAGGCCAAGAACCGCATGGAGCCTGGTGGGCTGCGGCGGACACGGGTGACTGACTCCTCCGTGTCTGTGCAGCTCCGGGAGTGACCGGCTGGCTCCTCTGTCCTGACCCCACAGCATCTCCCTGAGCTTTAGAAGCCCCTAACTCTTAGCCACCTCTTAGGCCCCTTATTCCTCCCCGGCCCTTGGCTTCTCTCTTGATGGACAGCTTCCACACCCTTAAGCGGTGGAGTCCAGCATTTTCCCGGCACTCTCTGAGCCCCGTGAGGGCGGAGCCACTCCTTGTAAATTCAGTGCCTGACAGATGCTCTGGCACAGATGCTCCCTAGATCTCTGTTGAGTGAATGCATAGACACCTGTGCTCAAGGATGCTGAGGGCTGGTCTCTGCTTCTTTGAACTTCACTGAAACTGAATGCTTACTGCTGTGTTGCCAGCACCACCCAGCCCAGGGCTGTGAGCAGAGTGTCAGTGAATGTCTGTTGAAGGGGGAATGGAGCCATTCATTTCACTCAGTTCCTGTCCCATTTAACCGCCCCTGATCCTTGATCTTCCACTACCTTCACACCCCAGGGTCCTTCTGAACTGACCTTGACCTCTGATCTCTTCACACATCTCCCCTTAGCATCTCTACTTACCTACTCTCCTTTTTTTTTTTTTTTTTTTTTTGAGATGGAGTCTCACTCTGTCACCCAGGCTGGAGAGCAGTGACACAATCTTGGCTCACTGCAATTTCCACCTCCCGGGTTCAAGTGATTCTCCTGCCTCAGCCTCTCGAGTAGGGATTACAGGTGCCCACCACCACGCCCACTAATTTTTGTATTTTAGTAGAGACAGGGTTTCACCATGTTGGCTAGGCTGGTCTCAAACTCCTGACCTCAAGCGATCCACCCACCTTGGCCTTCCAAAGTGCTGGGATTGCAGACGTGAGTCACTGCGCCTGGCCATTCCATATCTCTTGAGTCTCAGAATTTCCTCTAGCTCCCTCCAGGTGTCTGCAGTTGTCGTCCCCTCAAAGCTGTCCCACACTCTCCTCTGAAGACCCTTTGTGTATCTTCTCCAGCTACCGCAGACCCCCCAAACCCAGGCATCCATCAAAGTCCCTCATTCATGAGGGTGTGGGGACACAGACTGTGACCAGAACAGAAATATGAAAATGTGAATGACAGTGTCCCCCATGTGTGGAATGTGGGGATTAAAAGCATTTATCAACCACTAAGTCCTGATCTGATCACTTGCAGATCCCAGCCCTAGTCCAGGGCTGGGTCCTAGAAGGCCCGCACCCTGCTGTCCCCTGCAGGAACCATGGAGGGAGTCCGGAGGCCCCTGGGAGGCCAGAAATGGCTCAAGGAGGAGTTTTTTGCTTGTTTGTTTGCTTTGAGACAGAGTCTCGCTCTGTTGCCCAGGCTGGAGCACAGTGGCACGATCTTGGCTCACTGCAACCTCCACCTCCCAGGTTCAAGTGATTTCCGGCTAATGTTTGTATTTTCAGTAGAGATGGGGTTTCACCATGTTTGCCAGGCTGGCCTCCAACTGAGCTCAGGTGATCCGCCCACCTCAGCCTCCCAAAGTGCTAGGATTACAGGCCTGAGCCACCACACCAGGCTAAAGAAGGGTTATTTACTGAAAAGGCTGGGGCGTATTTCATATTTAACAGTCAGCCCAAGGTTCCCCTGTAGTTCACTCACATGTCCTTCTGTGGTGCGTGTCTTTGTGCACACCTAAAACCATGTCCAAGTCGATGGCGTGTCCTCATCCATGGCATTGTCCTGTGTATGGGCTGACCCAGGCCCAACCACCCTGCTCTCTCCTCCATCCCACCCGGTCCAGTGAGGACTTGCATCCCAGGGACAAGCAGATGACAGACGGGGACCAGTGCACAAAGGCCGTATTGCAGGGGAGGTGGGAGGGGCAGGCAGAACGCTCCTTCTCCTGGGTCTTGGGGCCCCGCAGCAGAGCCCAGGAATGGGCTGAGTGAGGGGTCTGGCACTCTGTGGAAGCTGCAGATGACAGACCAGCAAAGCATCAGCTGCACCTGAAATGTAATCAAGAATTGCTTCCAGGGGCTCTCAGAGACCCAGGGTCTGGTGAGTTCTAGAAGCCTGAGGCTGGGTGGGGACTGGGGAGTCTGGGTCTGAGGCTCCAAGTTCAGGAACCAGGGATCCTAGCTTGGGAGTTTGGAGTTGGGGCTCCTTGGAGCCCTTGGGGGATGGGAGTGACTTGGGAGGGCTTGGGAGGTTGGGAGGGTGTCACTGCTGGATCTAGGTCCCAGGTCTGTGAGTGCAAGGTGGCCTCAGGGACCTCCAGGGATGGGTCTTAGGGGTGGGCTGTGGGACTGGTTTTAGGGCTGAGGCTGGTCTAGAGGGTCTAGGGGAGTGGAGAGCAGGAAGGCTACACACTGGGGGTTCCTATAATTGAGTCTGGGGTCTTGAGGTCTGGGTTAGTTTTGGAGTCTGGGAATTTTGAGATGTGATTATCTGAGGCATGGGGGCTGGCTTTGGTTCTGGAGACCAAGGTGAGGGGGTCTAGGAGTTCTCAGCCCCAGAATTAGTCAGCCCTCCCTGGGAAGAACAGCTGTGGGCGGGTGAGTAGGTGGAGGATTCCAGAAGATGGAGGGTTGGCTCTGAATCCCAGAGCTGGGGCGAGATCTCCGTCCCACGGTCCTGGGCTGCAGGTGGAGTGGGGACCGGGTGCTGGGGGTGAAGAGAAGGAGGACCTGGTCTGGGTAAGGACTCTGAGATGGGGCCTCCACGACTGGTTTTAGGGAGGCCTGGTGCTCCCAGTTCCAGTCGGGAGCTCAGGGGTGTGGAGCAGCCTCGGGGCTTGGATGATGGGTGTGGGGGTTTGTGCGGAGCTGGGGCCGGGGCCTGGGGTGGGCTCGGAGCTTTGGGCAGCTGGGCACCTGCAGTAGAGCGCGGAGATAGCGTTGGACCAGTTTCCCAAGATGCCCCGGCGGTACTCCTCCAGGCGCGGGTAGGTGCCGGCAGAGAATTTGTGCGTCTTGCCCGCCTTGCCTTGCCGGGACCACACGACCTCGCAGCGCGGGGCCACCACAAGCGAGGAGGCGGTGTTGGCCCAGTTGGAGGGCAAGTAGGGCAGGTCTGCGCCCGGCTCCAGCGACAGCTCGGCGCCCCTGCAGCAGTTCTCATAGTAGGGGTCGCTCTTGTCATAGAGCTTGGCGCAAGTGCGCGTCCCGTCCGAGTGCTTGAGGTCGGTGGACGCGGGGCAGGCGCCCTGGGCGCACGGCACGGCGGCCAGGGCCAGGGCCAGCAGCAGCGGGCGCAGTGGGGACATGGTGGCAGTGCCCCGCCGCGGCCCAGCGCGCTTTTATGCGCCCGACCCGTGGGAAGGAACAAGCTGCCAGATAAGGACTCATGGAGGGAAGGGGAGGGCGCGCCTCCCCCAGGAGCCGGGAGACCTGCCTAACCTAGGTCGGAAACCCACAACCCTGGGTACAAGGTGGACGCTGTGTATACAACTTAGCACCTTAAGATGTTAGGTGACCAACAACATTATAAAGAGAGACAGACAGGACTTGAGGAGGAGTCATTTGCAACACAGAGGGTGGCATAGGTTAATAGACAGAAATGGGAAGAACTTTTAAAAATTGACAAGGGGCTTGCTGGTGACTCACGCCTGTAATCCCAGCACTTTGGGAAGCCTAGACGGGTGGATCGCTTGAGCCCAGGAGTTTGAGATCAGTCTGGGCAACATAGCAAGATCCCGTCCCTACTAAAAATAAAGTTAGCCCAGCGTGGTGGCGTGGCCTGTAGTCCCAGCTACTCACAAAGCCTAGTCGGGAGGATCGCTTGAGCCCAGGAGTTCCAGGCTGCGGTGAGCTGAGATCATTTCACTGTACTCCAGCCTGGGCAACAAAGCCAGGAAAAAAAAAAAAAATGCCGGGCGCGGTGGCTCAAGCCTGTAATCCCAGCACTTTGGGAAGCCGAGACGGGCGGATCACGAGGTCAGGAGATCAAGACCATCCTGGGTAACACGGTGAAACCCCGTCTCTACTAAAAAAATACATAAAACTAGCCGGGCGAGGTGGCAGGCGCCTGTAGTCCCAGCTACTCGGGAGGCTGAGGCAGGAGAATGGTGTAAACCCGGGAGGCGGAGCTTGCAGTGAGCTGAGGTCCAGCCACTGCACTCCAGCCTGGGCGACAGAGCGAGACTCCCTCTCCAAAAAATAAAAAATAAATAAATAAGGAATGGAACAATCCTTATTCTAGATAAGGAAAGACTGGGTTGGGGGAGGCGGGAGTGGGAGGCTGGGGCCTCCTGGCTGGGCAGGCTCCCTCCCTGGGAGGCAGGACCTTGGGAAAGGAGAAGCTGGAGATAAGGATAGAGGCCCTTGTGGGGTGGGGGCAGGTAGAGAAGGAGATGAGGAGCCCCACGCCCCACCCCCACCAGGCTCAGACCGGGCAATCTTCCCAACCAAGGCTGGCAATCCAGAATCTGTGAAGTACAAGATAGCAGTATTTGCATAACACGTTAAAAACCTTTTGCAAGACAGCGTACAAAGGCTTGAGGAGATATTTGCAACATTTCAAAAGCATAGCATTACAAGTTATAATATATAAAGAGTGCACACAGGTTGGGCGCGGTGGCTCATGCCTGTAATCACAACACTTTGGGAGACTAAGGCAGGCAGATCATTTGAGACCAGGAGTTCAAGACCAGCCTGGCCAACATGGTGAAACCCCGTCTCTACTTAAAGTACAAAAATTAGGGCACATGCCTGTAGTCTCAGCTACTCGGGAGGCTGAGGGAGGAGAATCACTTGAACCTGGGAGGTGGAGGTTGCAGTGAGCCAAGATCGCATTAAAAAAAAAAGAGTGCCTACAAATTGACAAGAACTGCACCCCTCCCTCCCACAGGCTAAGGACAGGCCTAGGAGAGGGAGGGGGGGAAGAGCCTGCCACTCCCACCTCAGGAACCAGGAGACTTTCTTCACTAAGGTTAGAAATCTTCAATCTATAAAACAAATGGTGAAATTTTGAGCTGTATAAAACTGTAAAACTGTTGTATAGCAAAAACCAAACAAAACAAAACCCACAAACCCAGCCAGGGAAAAATAGACTCAATTCCTATCATATAAAATGAGCTCTTACCGATCAGCCAGTAGAAATGAAACAAGGGCCAGGTGCAGTGGCTCACACCTGTAATCCCAGCACTTTGGGAGGCCCGGGTGGGTGGATCACCTGAGGTCAGGAGTTCGAGACCCACCTGGCCAACATCATGAAGCCCTGTCTCTACTAAAAATACAAAAATTAGCTGGGCGTGGTGGCACACAGAGCCTCGGGAAGCTGAGGCAGGAGAATTGCTTGAACCGAGGAGGTGGAAGTTGCAGTGAGCCGAGATCGTGCCACTGCACTCCAGTCTGGGTGGCAAAGTGACTCTGTCTCAAAAAAAAAAAAAAAAAGGAAGGAAGGAAGGAACAAAGAAAAGAAAAGAAAAAAGAAGAAAAGAAACAAGGCAAAGGAAAAATTAGAGCAGCATAGGAAGGAGAGGGAGATTGGAACCCTAGGGCTGGACAAAGACCCAGACCTCTGGGAGCCTGGCCAGGGCCCTTCCAAGGTTTTTTGGAGTTCCCAGCCTCTTCCCAAAACAGGGTCAAGAGTGTGGATGCACTGATTAGACAGACACGGGTCCATTGGCTGTGTCAGTACAGGTCTGGGCCTTGGTTTCCTCATCTGTGAAATGGGTAATGTTTCCTCCTACACCATAGGAATGTTGAAAAGGTTACAGGGGATGGTAGAAGGGATGTGGTTTAGGAGGACAGTCCATGGAGTCAAACTGTCTGGGTCCAAATCCCAGCTCCTCTACGAGCTGTGCACACAAAGGCCTCAGGGACACGCTGATGGTACTTACTTCAGAGTGGTGGTATAAGGAATAAATTAATTGGGCTGGGTGCAGAGGCTCACACCTGTAATCCCAGCACTTTGGGAGGCCAAGGCAGGAGGATCACTTGAGGTCAGGAGTTTGAGATCAGCCTGGCCAACATGGCAAAATCCCATCTCTACTAAAAATACAAAACTTATCCGGGCGTGGTGGCAGGTGTCTGTAATCCCAGCTACTTGGAAGGCTGAAGCAGAAGAATTGCTTAAACCTGGGAGGCCCAGGCTGCAGTGAGCTGAGATCGTGCCACTGCACTCCAGCCTGGGTGACAGAGTGAGACCCTGCTAAAAGAAAAGAAAGGAATAAATGAATTAATCCATGTAACAACACTTAGAGAAGGGATCGGCCTTCGCTAAGTGCCATATGAGCATCTGTCATCATCACTACCATCTTTTTTTTTTTTTTTTTTTAGAGAGTCTCACTCTGTCTCCTAGGTCTGCAGCCTCGACCTCCCCGGCTTAAGCAATCTTCCCACCTCAGCCTCCTGAGTAGGGAACATGCCACCATAGGCATGTGCCACCACACCCTGCTAACTTTTTGATTGTTTTGTAGAGATGGGGTTTCACCATGTTGCGCAGGCTGGTCTCGAACTCTTGGGCTCGCTCAATCCTCCTGCCTCCCATAGTGCTGGGATTACAGGTATGAGCCACTGCACCCGGTACATCATTATTATTATTAAAACCTTTAGCATGGTGCCTGGCACATAGTAAAGACTCAATAAACGTAAACCATCACAACAACATAACGCCAACAATTTGCTGTTATCCATGGTCGCTCACCAAACCTACACCCTGCTGGTCCTCCTTAGATGCTGTGGCATCCACCTTAGGCAGGGTAGGGCTGTTATTAAGAGCCAAAGACTGGAAACACTTGGAAGTGGGTTCAGATGTTGACTCTGCCACCTGCTTGCTGAGCAACCTTGGGAAAATGAACTTACCTCTCTGAGCTTCAGTTCCCTCCTACCTTCATTGGGATCATAGAAAATGAGGTCTCATGAGCCAGGCGCGATGGCACATGCCAGTAGTCCCAGTTATTTAGGAGGCCGAGGCAGGAGGATCACTTGAGTCCAAGAGGTCGAGGCTGCATTGAGCTGTGATTGCACCACTGTGCTCCAGCCTAGGCAACAGAGGGAAACTCTGTCTCTAGAAAAAAAAAAAAAAGAAAAAACGGTCTCTATAAAGTAATTTACGTTATGAACAATCCATATAATTGTTATTTATAAATATAATATAGGCCGGGCGCCGTGGTTCATGCTTGTAATCCTGGCACTCTGGGAGGCCAAGGCAGGAGGATCACTTGAGGTCAGGAGTTTGAGACCAGCCTGGCCAACACGGTGAAACCCTGTCTCTACTAAAAAAATACAAAAAGTAGCTGGGTGTGGTGGCACATGCCTATAATCCCAACTACTCAGGAGGCTGAGGCAGGAGAATCGCTTGATCCTGGGAGGCGGAGGTTGTAGTGAGCCAAGATCGTGCCACTGCACTCCAGCCTGGGTGACAGAGTGAGACTCTGTCTCCAAAAAAAAAAAAAAGAAAAGAAGAAAATAAAGAAAGAAATATATATATATATGTATATGATGTATGTAATATGAATACTTAATATACAATATTGTATTAACGCAATAGTATAAATGCAAATACATAAAGCATGAAGTACTGTGCCCAGCACATGATAGGTACTCAATACATGGAAGCTATTATGACTGTTCTCCTGACAGCTCTGAGACCCTGGCCATTGGCCTGGCCCTGCCCGGGGATCCTTCTTTCTCATTTCCTTTTGTGATCCCTTGAAATCTGATCTCCAGCTGCTAACTTCCCAGAGAGCCTCCTTGGTCCCAGGAACACAGAACAGCCACCAGGACCTGGCTCTGCACTGCCCCAGACACAGGGATGGAGGGCAGCAGAGTCACTCAGAGTCCCACCCACCCCGGAGGGCCGTGAACTTCAGACACAGAGAGCGACACGGCCAGGGAGACACGGACAGGGAGACAGACGCAGGCACAGGAAGGAACACGGAACCTGCTGAGGCACAGTACACAGCCCGCATCCGACAGAGCCCACAGAGACCCAGGGCCTGGCCACAGCATGTTCAACCCCGTCGCACACACATGGGCAGGGCGTAGGGACACGCATCACACAGCCAGCCACTGACGGTCCTGGATTCTTACTGGTGAATCCTAGGGTGGACACATGCCCAGCTCTGGGGCAACACGCACCCCTGTTCCCCAACGGAACCACACACAGCCATTGTCATGAACAAGCCTCCAGTCTTCCTCCACTCCTGCCCTACACGCTACAAATCTCACACCTGTGACATCTTTTTTTTTTTTTTTTTTTTCTTTTTGAGACAGAGTTTCGCTCTTGTTGCCCAGGTTGCTGCAGTGCAATGGTGCGATCTCGGCTCACTGCAACCTCTGCCTCCCAGGTTCTAGCGATTCTCCTGCCTCAGCCTTCCAAGTAGCTGGGATTACAGGTGCTCGCCACCATGCCCAGCTAATTTTTTGTATTTTTAATAGAGAAAGGGTTTTGCCATGTTGGCCAGGCTGGTCTCGAACTCCTGACCTCAGGTGATCCACCCACCTCGGCCTCCCAAGGTGCTGGGATTACAGGCGTGAGCCACCGCACCTGGCCTCTTTTTGTTGTTGTTTTGTTTTTTACAGTGTCAGGGTCTCGATATGTTGACCAGACTGGCCTCAAAATCCTGGCCTCAAGCAATCCTCCCACCTGAGCCTCGCAAAGTGCTGGGATTACAGGCATGAGCCACCACATATCGTGTGAAATCTCACACGCACACATCTGACTTGTTCACATAAGCACACATGTCACACACACACACACACACATGCTCACACGTGCACAGCATCCTCACCCAGAAACAATTTCCTCAGT